TTACCCTGTGCATCCCCCCCCCTGGCCCGCCTGCCCCCACCTTCATGCGTGCCCCTCCCCACGCTCCTCGCACAGCCCAGCTGCCCGTCTGTGCACTGTCCACACGCCCACCCATCCACCCTCCTGGACGTCCACTTGCCCGGCCACTTGCTTGGCCAGTGCCCTGTGCTGGCCCACCCAGGTGTCAAGCCTCTGCAGCGGATTAGAAGTGCTCCCTTCTGCCCTGGCACTGTGGGTAGTCACTCCAGCCTAAATCGGTCATAGGGAATGTAGGGCTGGGCTTCTCGTTGGGAAAATAGACTCCTCACTTTGCGAATCCGCCAATCGACTCTTTTCTTCCCTACAGGATTCTACTTCAGGAAAAAAGAAGCTGTCTCCTTATGCAGCTGGAGGAAGCTACCCGCTTGACCTCCTATCTCCAGTCCCAGCTGAGGAGGTAGGACACTCCCCTAGAGGAACCCGCACCTCGTTGTCGTGGGGTGACAGCGTGTTCTCCTCCCGGGAGAGCAAGAGAGGGGGAGGGGAGCAGCCTGGGCATGCGCGTGCGGACTGGCCACGAAGGCCAGGCATTTAACCGCGATGCCACGTGGGCTCCGGCCCGACGACAGGCCGATCATATGCCTGACCTATGACTCGGCTGCAGCATAAGCAGTAAGTCTGAAGTCAGATCCATCCAGGACGGGGTATGCTGCTGACCCAGTTTGGAAGTATACACGTATGTGCGGACAATTTGTATTTATGTATTTTAAAGATCCAAACATTTCTAGGTGAAGTCAGATTTGGATCTCAACAATAGCTTGTGTTTTCCAGTTCTCAGATAGTGGGACGCCTGCCGGCGCTTTTATGCGTGCTGCTTGCTCGGTTTTCTCCTAACGGTGCTGCGTGGCAGGAACTGTCACTGCCCCAGGCCCCCGAGACCAAGGGGAGGCTTGGGGAGCTGAGGAGGGGACCACTGTCTGAGCTAGCGCACTTCAGCGGACTTGACCTCCACTGCCCACTGCTCTCAGCCACCTCTGGAAAGGAGCGTGTGCAAAGGCTCTGCTGCATCGTGGCCAGGTGGCAGTGGCCCGTGGGCTGTGTCCCTCAGTCATGGCTCTCTGTCGTTTCAGCCTGTCTGCCAGCACCCTGACGGTGTCCTCGGGGAGCAGCCGTGGCTCCCCGGCCTCCCCCCGCGGCCCCCCGGC